AAACTAGTATTAAACTTTTTTTTGAAATAAGAGAAAATTTGTTCCTGTAATCTTATGACTTCTTCTACGAATCGTAACTATATACTTGGTTTTATAGGTATGTTTACACATTATTTATATAAAGTGCTTGCTAAGCATTTAAAAGTCTAATATTAATGTCATTTTTTGGCAGGTAGAAAAGAATTTCTAACATGTATAGATTTGGCAGTTATTTTTGACAAAAGTACTTTCAATTACACGTATATTATACATTTTCTATTGCAATAACTGATATATAATAGTAGTGTTGTAGAGTTAATTCCAAAAAAAATAGTGCCATCGACGAAGAATTAATTTTGCTGACACATCCACCCTCGTTCTGTGTTTTTCTCAATATTGATATTATATAACACAAAGCAATAGATATATATATATATATAGTTTAAGGTTGTCATTAAGAAATGATAACTTTGATGTTCAGATTTCTTTGCCATTTATTGAATGCAACAGAATATCATCAATTACCAAGTGAAAAATATAAACAAAACTTTTGATTGACATCAGAAAAGTTAAAATTTGGTCAACATCAATATCATTGATTAACCTTTATTCAAAGTAACTGTGTTCAATGTTTAAATCTTTTTCTATTTTGTTATTAGAAAAAATAAAACTAAAATATAACAAAAATGACAAATCTGCTCTCGGCAATGGCTTAGTGTCGAAGGATAGTTAATGAGTTTTTTTTTTGCTTCACCATCGTAGCATCTTAACAAAGAAAATATGTCTATAACATAATTTAATAATATAAAAGGAAAGGATGTATTGAAGAGGCGAAATAAAAAATAAGACATTCTCTTTTTTTCAAGGTAATTGGAGTTAATAAATAAAATAAAAGTTGTGTTTTTTTTCTACGAGGCTATATCATGTAACACAAAACGTAAGTTAATGTGTAAGTCTTTTTATTAGTCTTGCAATTTCATTTTCCGAAACAAAAAAAAAAAATAAAGAACAATTTAATAGTTATAATTATATCATGTATTTATTCTTCTTTGTTGCATTAGTAATAATCGTTCGAGTTCGACTATTAAGCATAACATTATACTTGTTCTATATTGAACTATAAATGAAATTAAATATACACATGATGCCATGACATCTGTCTATGAAACAAAATAAAATATTTAATCGAGGCCGAAATTATTCAGATGATTATAATATTATAGTAATGTTGTTTTGTTCTACTACAAAAGTTTGCTTTTATATCGATAGGGCACACTTAATCAATTAGTACTCTATAGCATTTTATATATAAACAACCACTGAACATTGTCCGTGTAAATAAATATAAGTCTAACTTCATTATAACTGACGATCGTTCATGGTCTCAATTATGTTAAAGAGAAAAATTGGTTATGTGTATCTATTGATTCAACAAAATAATATTTATCCAATTAATATTATGTCATAGAAAACAGTTAGGATAGGCAGGAAATATCTTTCATCATTTCATTGCTGTCAAGTCAAGATTTCTCAGTTGACTGAACAAGATCAGAGAAGTCAAGAAAAGAAAAAAAGAACGAAATGTAAATATCTTAGACATGAGAGTAATATTGATTGTAGCCGCAAGCTTAATCGACTACACATACACACATATATATATGTATATGTATGTGATAATGATGAGAGAAAAACGTATGCGTGTGTAAAATGATAAGATTGTTTTGAACATAAATGAAATGGACAGTTCGGGGTATGCACGTTCCATTTCCGTTTCTATTAGTTCACAGTATGCTCTTGACCATCTCTCTTTCGATATGGATCAAGAAATATGCGCTGCTTGAGGGAGAATGAAACAAACACAGGTTGTTCAAGACAGAAAAATGATTCATGTTCGTTTTTTAATCAGATTGATTTTCGAGAGGGCAATGTGTCATTATCAACATTATTATTGAATGTAATATATCTTTCTTTATCATCCATGGCATTTATTCTCTTTCCGCTTGGTCGTTATCAATTTTGTGTACGATTCACAAAATAAAAATCAATCTATGTTAAGAAGAATTCGTTTAACGCACTTGTCATTATGTACACAGAAATATAAATATGTATATACATATATATATATTTGGTTCTAGATAATAAATTCATCTTATCTACATATCACAACCATCGTTAACTAATCAACAAGGTCATAACGTTACAAGTAAGCATATAAGAGACTTTAGGACAGATGTCAATTTTTTTTTTTTAATAAGAGTCATGTTCTTAATTTCGAATATATAGAGTAGTTTCTAGTGGACTTCTTTTTTTTTTTCTACATCGATGAACTATGTATGTATGTGCAATTTTCTATCTCATTGAGACACTCGGTTCTAATTTATGGATCGTGTCGATAATGTTGTTGTCGTCATCATCTATACACGACATTAATTGCATCGATTAGAGTGAGACTGTCCATCTGTCTGCGACGAAGAAAAAAAGAAAAGGGTCAGCTTGACTTTAATCTTCATAAAAAACGGGAAGACTTTTATCTTTTTTTTTTTAAATAGCGATCACATACTAACATTAATTCATGAATTAAATTTCACGTTTGAATAATTTTTCACATATGTTCTACACGCACGAGTCATCGGACAGGTGTTTGTTCCATTTGTTTTTTTTTTTCTGTTATTAATATGAGCCTGCGATTTAGTTTTTATTCAACATAGCACGCAAATTTATATCCGTTCGAGATAATGTTCTTCTATTCTTAACAAGAATAGCTTGTAGACGAGTGTTCATCATTTAAGTTTCTCCTTCGTTTTTCTTCTTCTTGTTGTCGATGAAGAGAGAGAAAGAGAAAGAGAAGAATATATATATATATAACATTGTTCATTCATCTCTTCACTTCTAAACTAGACAGGTAAATGAAAAAAGAAGAAAAAGGATATTCGTCATATTAAATATTTGCATCCTTTATTCCAAGGTGAATACATTTTATTGTGTAAGTAAATGTTCGAGCACCACTTTTATATACATATGCATGGTACTCCTGTAAAATTAGAATCTATAGCTTCTGTATGTCTTTTAACAAAGAATACGAAGTAATCAAAATACATAATAGAGAACTGTGGTTGTACTATTTCAAATAAATTTATACTAACTTATATCATGGTTCGTAGATGAACTAGTTTTATAATATATTTGATGAGAAAAGGTCAAATTATAATCTATCTTTAAAGTTCATTTTAATTACATATGTTATTTTTATTATATTTGCAGACAGTTTGTCATCTATGTAAGTAGAATGTAAATAGAGAATTCTTCTTTTTTTTTTTTTTTCAAAGATAATGTCTCATCATTACCTTGAGAATGTCTATTTATCTGTCTAATCGTTAATTGTTCTATGTACTCAATCGATCAATTTTAAAGATTTGAAGTGTATATAAATATATCTCATTCATCTTGTCTTTATCATTTATCGGACACAATTATATTGTTTTCTATAAGCCTTCAATATGGGCATATGTATCTATATAAAGATTTTTCTTGTGTTACAGACATTGATTTGTATAAATCATTAACTTAGCATGTTAGAACAAAATTAGTGAGAAGACAAGGAAAAAAAAAACTATTGTTCTCTCCTGAGATTATATAGACAACTGACCAGTGAGATAAAATGAAATATATTATACAATAAAAAAAAGAAAAAAGAAAATTTGACAGTCCCATTGCTTATCATATTTCAAATAGAAATAAGGATTGATCATATGATATAATTGTTTCATTCTATTGTCTTTATAGAAATGATGAATACAATCAGACAGACAGAGAGAATCAGTAGAAATACTGAATAAATAAGTAAATATATATATACACATAAAAAGCTTCTTGAAGAGTCAAATTTTTTTTTCTTCTAAGATTACGTTTCTTTCTTGTTCTTTTGTTCATCATTCATTTCGAACATGTATTCTATAATAGGACTATCATCATTATTCTTTTTCTTCATTTAAAACTTGATGGAAGTCTATGTCAAGGTTAATCTTCTAATCAGGCTTAAACCATATATATATACATGAATTACTATGTCTAATGTTCAATTATCTTTTGCCTTTCTTATATTCTTGATAGGTCAGTAAGTTGAGAAAGTTTTTCGCCTAATTACAACAATAGTCAGTCATCAAACACAAAGGCCATTTTTCGAATGGCTCATCAATCATTTTATGCTTGCTATGTGTCGGTCATCAAGGCTATTTGATTGACTAGAATATCAATGAGTAGCGAAAGAAAATACCGAAAATGTTCTTTTTTTTTTTTTTTACTTAAAAGAATAAGTATGTAAACGAGAAATCTACTTTCACCGGTCAGTGAGTCAACCGTGCGTTGAATTATGTACACTTCATTTTTTTTCTTCTTTGCTCTTTCTAATCTTATGCGCTTACGTATGCACATCATACATCACAAAACGAAATCATTTATCAAGACTTGAACAATTTTGCGTAATATGACTAGTTGTTTCACATAATACATATAAAGCCTATCGAGATTATAATATCTATTTTGAATACATTCCAACTTTGCTCTAATGATTTCTATTTACTTCCCATCTTAAAAAAATCTAATCAATATGTCGTCACTCAGCAGGATACAATATTGATTAGAATTCTTTTTTTTTTTTTTCATTTAACAAATGTTGAGAGGATATTGATACACAATGATTGTTATCATGATGCCATGTTATAATAAATACAGACATCTTCATATAAACAGGCTCGAAATTTTACACTTGATACATACAGTGATAAATGGTAATAATAAAATCTTATTAGACTTTTTTTCCTATTCTAACAAACACCTGTTAAGATAGACAATTGATTTTCCTTTTTTTTTTCTCATACGAATATGTATATAAATATCGATCAATTTGATATTTTAGATATATATATATATATACGTTTCTTTCTTCCTATTGAATAAACAAGCAAAACATGCGAATAATCATATTATTATTCATATTTCATTATGGAACTATTATTAATTCTATGGAATTGAGTAAGTATTAAAAAAAGAAATGAAAAATTAATAATAATAATTCTATCTATATTTTGTTCTTCATCATTCTGCTAGAAGGTATTAATTCATGTCAAACTCCATTAATAAATAATTCAAAAATTATTACTAGTAGTACAGATATAATTTCAAATGTTTGGTGTCCATCATCATTTGATAATGAACCATATTTATTAATATCATTATCTAATTTAACTTATATAACACGTTTAAATATAAAAACAATATCATCAAATATATATTATCATCTTGAATATACACGTGATAATTTAATTAATCACTATACTATATGGCATTCGTATCGTTTATTAAATAATAAACATGAGACTATTCAACTTGATCCACCAATTATTGTTAAATATATTCGATTAAATATTAAACAAATGAAAATAAATTCATGTTTTCAATTAGAAATTTTTGGTTGTATATTTACTGATGGTGTTGTATCTTATAGTATGTTACAAGGTAATAATCAACTTGAAGATGATACATATGATGGACAATATAATATAAAACATCGTTATTTATATGGTAAGAATATTCACTTTTTTTTTTGAAATAGAATAATAAAAAAACTAATTTGTTTCTTTGTTTTAAGATGGTCTCGGACAATTATCTGATGGACAAACAGGGCCCGATGATCATGAAGATCTACATGGTTTTCAATGGGTAAAAATTAATTGATCTTTGTTTTTTTTGCTTTTTGTTGAACAAAGTTATATTTTGTAAAATATGATCTACAAATTTGAACTTTTGCCCGCAGATCGTGACACAGGGTAATCAAGAATTATCAAAGGCAAAACAGGACATATTAGTCTTCCTTTTGACATTGATCTTTTACAGGAGTTATTTTTCTAAATAAGTTTTTTTAAAGCTCAGATAGCTATAAATCTGTTGGCTCTTTCAATTGATTATTGATTAAAATTAACTAAGTAATTAACAAATATTCAGTTTATTCAGAATAACTTAACATAGATGTAATATATGAAAATTAAACTTGAGAAAGTTTATTATCTTGAGATACACATGTTTTAATTCTACAAATATTGTACTAATAGCTCGGTTTTTTTCTTTATAGGTTGGTTGGAGAAAATCGCGTTCTGCAAATCATAATCATTCGATTGAAATATTATTTAAATTTGATACATTAAGAAATTTTTCTCGTATAACAATACATGCCAATAATTATTATCCAAAAAAAATCTATGTATTTCGTTCAGTAATAATTGAATTTTTAAATTATAATAATAATAATAGTTCATCATTGATTACATATAATCATCAACGTGATGATCAATTTGAAATGGCTCGACCAATTATGATTGATTTAAAATATCATATTGCTTCACAATTAAAAATTCATTTATATTTTGATGGAAATTGGATTTTAATTAGTGAAGTTACTTTTGATTCATTTATTGTACCAACTACTTTAATTATCAAATCAGAACAACAACAACAAAAACAACAATTACAATCAATTTATTTTTCAATTAATATTATGATTATATGTATAGCAACTATAATAATTATTTTAGTATTTGCATTGATCATTAGTCTTACTCGATGTCTATTCAATAAAAGTTTAAACAATAAAAAAACTTATTTTACACCAATTCATAATCATACTGACTCATCAGCATCAACAACATCAAGTGAAATTGATATAGGTTCATCACATCATCGTTATGCAACTATTGGATCTAATCATCCATATCTTATTTATACTAATGGAAATATATCATCTTCTCATTATTCTAAATTTATGTCAACAACAACTTTATTACGATCACCATCGAAAAGTCTACACTATCATATAGAAGGTGTTTGTGGTAATAGTTCATATGGTACACAAAGATTATTTAGCTTTGATTTAAATCAAAATCAATTTATACCAAGTCATAAAATTAATATAAAACGACGAATTGATAATCGTCATCAAATTCTTGGTGGTGGAGAGGTAAATATTATGAATATAACCGAGAAGGAATTAAGAATAGAAAAATCCATAGAAGACCATAACAATCGTATTTTGCTTGGATCCTTTATATAAATTGTTCTTGTGTTTTTTAACTATTGAATAATAATTTGTGTACTAGAAACGAAACTAGTCCAGCTTTAACCTATCTTTTAAGCTCACATTGAGTCTATAAGAAGGTTTGAGTAAGACTAGAAATATTCCAAAAGGATTTATCTCTATGGGCGTTTTACTAAATTTTATACACATTTCTTAGTATTTACTGATAAATATAATAGTCGTTTGTCATAAAAATCGAGTTCACATAATTTTTGATGGAAATTCTATGTTTTAATTTTCCAGAAAATATCTAAAATTGCTTCAAAGATTCAGTAAAACAGAGTGGTCGCTGGGATAGGACTCTCGTCAGTGAATAGAGTCCATCGAATATGAGCCTGAATACAAAAACTTTGAATCCGACAGGCTCTATTAGTGATACTTCCCAAAAAAATATATAAATTTGCATGCAAGGATATCTTTTCTATAAAATGTTACAGTCGATATATCATCTCTTATAAAAAAAATTTACTTTATGTTAAGATTTGTCAAGGTGAATTACAATTAAATCAATCATTAATACCAATAACTATTCGACGTCTTCTTCCCAATGCATCAGTACAATCAAAGTAAAGAGAAAATATTTCTTTTAATTATGTAAATAATTTTATTATTATGTTATTTAGAATTTCATTTTTCAATGAAATAAGTCTTTTAACATCACTTTGTCATCCAAATATTATTCATGCATATGGATTTTGTTCTGAACCAAGTATATCTTTATTAATTGAATCATCTGATATATCTACAGTAGATCTTTATCAATATCTTCAAAATTATAAACAAGAACAACCAATTAAAACTATTCTTTATACTACAACAGTATTTTTTGCAACTCAAATTTCATCAGCTTTAACTTATTTAGAATCTTTACATATTTATCATCGTGATTTAGCTGCACGAAATTGTTTAGTTTCAATAGATCTTAATATTAAATTACACGATTTAGCTATGTGTAATGAAATCTATGCAGATGATTATGTATTAGTAACAGTTGGAAATGATATACAAACAAGAAGACCTATTCGATGGTGTGCTTGGGAAACAATTTGTTTAGTAAGATAAAAAAAATCTTTGAATTATTTTTTTGAGAAAATAAATGCTGTTTTTTTTTCCTTATAGAATCGATTTACATCAAAATCTGATGTTTTTTCATTTGGTGTTCTTCTTTGGGAAATATTAACCATGGCTGAACGACCACATAGTTTATTAGATGATGAACAAGTTCTTTTTAATTTACGAAATTCTAATCATTGTTTAACTATTCCATCATATGCAGATGATTTAATAGATTTAATTTTATCATGTTGGAATAAATGTGACTATGATCGACCTTCATTTTATCAATTAAATCATTTATTAAGTCAAAAACAACAACAACAACAACAATTTTTGACAATGAAATCTGATAATTATCAACAGATTGACTAAATTTTGTATTATTATTATTATTATTATTTGACATTTAACAATAGCCCGGTTGCTTGTTTTTTTTTGGTTGTGTGGTTTTAAATAAATATAATGACAGCTATTGGAATTTTATTTGTCTAACAAAGAAATAATTTGTTTTATTAGACTAACTAGTACAAAAAAAATTTTTGTACTGTTCGATAGATAAAGTTTTTGTTTGAGATTATTGCCATTATGAATATTGGATTTTTGCTCGATAAGCATAGAATCATTAGGAAACTGACGATGCCTACTTTGAGCTGTTTCTAGTGACTATTTAATCTATCTGTAAACGAAATTTCAACTCAAAATTCAATAATTCAGGTTCTCATCGAGTGAAATCGAATAAAATGCCTATAACTCGACTAGCAAGAATCGAAAAGCCAAAAGAAAACAGTCTGTTTTACTAATTATCATGACCGATCAAATGACCATAGTCTCAAGTGAAAGGTGACTGAACAGTTACGAACATCTCATTGTGAGTAGTTAGTTTTGCTCTTAGTAAATTCAAATTTTTTTTTATTCGAAATAGAATCCATCTGATCGGTGCCAAACTTGAGAAGCTGTAGGTCGAAGATTAATTTGCATTGAATCGTCTAACAGATTAGTGTTTTTTGTCATATCAACTATTCTTCGTAATGCTAGTATTTAAAATGATTTCTTACATACAAAACTCAAGATTTCAATATGATTTGGACAATTAACAACCTGCATCCTAAACACTATCGTCAGTTATATGATTTACAATTTGGTGAGAATATCGAATAAAACAAAAGCTAGAGTAACTGCCTAATTCGAGTTCGAATATTTCCAACGCACAAACCTATTTTAATAGTCGAAGCAAAAGACAAAATTTCATTCATATTACAGTTTAAAATTCTGTTTTAAATGAATTCCCATGTACGTTTTGTAAAAAAAAAAGGAAAATCTACAGTTTATCACAATTACAGCTTATAACTAAAATTGACTGGTGCTGCATTTTGAAATAAAGACTATAAATGAAGTTTTTCAGATGCTGCAACAGCTTTGCTATACATACATATTCGGCTACTAGGAATCACTAGTGAAACTTTGCTTACATTTATTTACTGTGTTCAAATTTTTTCAATGCTCGAAATGAAGATGGACGTTACCGTGACTACAGAGCCGCGACACAGATATAACAGGTCAGTAGTGTGGCAAAACGAGCTTCTTCCTAGTGATTATTCATTATGGCAGATTTCAGATATCCAACGGATAATAAGGCAATGAAAGATGAACTACCTATCTAACCGGTGTGTCTCTTTTCAGGAACAAATCCTTCAATAGTTAAAATCCAGTGACAGGCTCGACTTGTATCTTATGGTTCAGATAAAATATTATCTTTTGCCTTTTTGTCGTAGTTATATGGAGCGTTTGCTTCAATTCGGAAATTCGAACTCGAATTCTAATAAAACTTTATCTTTTTCTTTTTCGTCGTAATAACATGGAAATCTTGTTTATATTTTCGAAGTGATATCGAGCAGTTGAAGCTCTATATATATTTGAACTCAAATTAGGTATCTCATGTTAAAAGAAAATTAAAATCATTCATAAAGGAATAGATCAATCAATTCAAAGACTAATATCGACAACAAATTCTATATTTCTTTTTTTTGGAAGACACATTAATTTTTTTGAAAAGAACGATGTTTGGAGTCACCTTCAAAGACTAACAATTATATCAGGAACGAAAACAAAAAGCAAATTTATGATTGCCTACAATTAGTTTCAATAATAAACTAGCCATTCATATTATTTGCTTTCTAGTCAAAGCTTTTTGTTTATCATTCTTACCTTTAAGTCATGCTGATGATTCATAAAGATATCTAATTGTACTAATGTTTTCTCCTTCTTGGATAACACTTAGGAGATACAATGCCATCTTTCGAATGTGCTCACACTCAAATTGGAACGACAATAAGAGAAAAATGCGATGCAAAGTTCTCCGATATTTTAGAGATTAACGATTTTATTGCCTTATGCGACAGATTCAATTTTGATTTTTACATAATCTCGATGCATTATCACGAATGTCACTTATTAGCTTTTCTTCAACGAAGTCCATTTCCATAGCTCAAGATCGATGCAGATAAGCAGAAAAAAGATACCCATCATTCAGACAACACCTAGGTTCTAAAGCATGTAACTGTATTGTAATTTTCTCACAAAAACTTGATTTCTTTCAATATATTTCTTTTATTGTTGAATCTTAAAACTATTGCATTGCAAATTATTATTTTTCTCACAATGGAACGATTACACAGTCCGATTGTATATTTCATATTAACTCAATACTTACTGCTTGCTTTGTATTTTTTGTTCTGAAATAGGATTAAATATATTTAAAAAAATATATAAAAATGATATCGACTTTCTATTTATTGAAGAATGCAGCTAAAACCATCATTCGTAAGCAAGAAATATAAAGAAAAAAAGGATTCATTTTTCCTTCTATGCAAACCATGATCATGATGGTAAAGTATTATTGCATATTCATTCTTATCAGGTAATTAACGATTTCTTTTAATTTGAATCCTTCAAATATTTAATCAACATCTATTATAGCTCGTCAGGTTTGATTAATATTTTATTTTATGTGTTAAACTATTGACATTTAGCTATACAAGTTCATACGAATTTTCAATCGTGTCATAAAAAGTCTCAATATGATCAATGTTCGACGAATAGCTTATGTGGATGTTTTCATACAATGAATAATATTAGTAGTAGCATTTGTGCATTTCTTTGGTTGACTTGTTCCGAATTAATATCATGTAGATCTCCAGACAATATCTGCTATGAACCTAATCATATCTGTGTTCATCATCCACGATGTTTTGATCATCCTGTTTGTTATCCTTTATCAAAAGCGAATCAAGAATTCTGTCCATCAATAATAAGTAAAACGTTTATATTTATATGTTCTTTGTGATATTCATATCACGAGTTGTGATTTTTGAATATTCTACTGAAAAATAGCATGTTTTTTTTTCGATATTATATTCTTGTATCTAGTTTTCATTCTATTGAAACTTTATGCTCAAAGACTTTTGAATAGATATATTCTCCCTTTGAATATAGTGACGAATGCTACAATGACGACAAGTACAAGTACTATAACATCTAGTAAGTGTGAAATTCTTTCTTAAATAAGTATATGTCATGCATCATTTATTCATCATACTTTAACTTGATTCATTTCTAACTTAGTTTTATTGATAAATTGTATATTTAAAATGATTATATTATTGATGAAACATATTTCCGAGCTGATATTTAACATTGATGTTTGTAAAAAAAGAAGATATTGATTTCTAAACTTATTAATAACAACAATTGAGAGAAGGATCGAATAAGATGATGTCTGAAATTCATGTATACAAAGTAAGCATTTTGCTAAATCTAATTATTTAGCTCCATTATTGATGACAAAACCAAATGATGGTATTTGTGAAAATGCGATATGGTCTACAAATGGTACTACTGTCGCTGGTAGAAGCGATGGTCTCGGATCTGCACTTAATAGATTGCATGGTCCTTGGGGACTTTTTGTGGATGACAATCAAGTTATATATGTAGCAGATTCGAAAAATCATCGTATAGTCAAATGGGAACAAGATGCTTCGAGTGGTCAACTAGTTGCAGGGGGAAAAGGAAGTGGAAATAATACTGATCAATTAAATCATCCATCAGATGTGGTCGTCGATAGAGATGGATCAATCTATATTAGTGATACAGAAAACGGACGTATTCAACAATGGTCTTCAGGTGCTAAGAGTGGGAAAACAATCATCAAAGATATATCATCTCCTGTTGGCATATCAAGAGATAAGCAAGGATTACTATATGTATCTGATTGGAAAAAAGGCGAAATAAAAAAATGCGGTGTTGGTGCGACCATTGGACAACTAGTTGCGTCGAGACTTAGCGGTCCACGATTTATGTTCATTGATCAAAAGAAATCTATTTACATAGCCGAGCAGAGACGTGATCGAATAATAAAAGCTGATGATGTAATACCATCACAATCTTCAATGCTTGCTGGTGGATCTCTTGGTAATGGTTTAAATCAATTATCGAGTCCATACAGTGTTATTGTCGATGAATTAGGCACTCTCTATATTGCTGATACTAATAATCATCGAATTATGCGTTGGGTACGTGGAGCTCAATCCGGAAAGGTCATAGCTGGTGGGCAAGGAATGGGTTCTCGATACGATCAACTTAGTTATCCACATGATTTATCATTTGATCTTAATGGAAATCTCTATGTAGTTGATTATGGAAATCATCGAGTGCAAAAATTTGTCAGTGATAAGAGTTTATGTCAATAAATTCAATTTAAGTAATAAAAGTAAAAGAAAACCCAGAATTTCAAGCCAATTATATTTTTCTTAATGTGGAGAAATTTTTTTTCGTTTAATCAAATCAAAAAAAATAAATATTTGCTCAGAAAGTTCGCAAAAATATGATTTCTTATTGCATTAAAGGCTTAACTTTATTGTGGAAAAACGATGGAACTGCTGAAAAAAATTCTTTTCGAATCAGTTTAGAAGGAACATTCCAACTATCGGCAATGATTTGGTTTCGGTGATTTCCCATATCATAATTCGTCATTGCTTGTGGTGCAACGACTTTCTCTAAGTGTATTCGTACAAAATAATTTCCATGCAAATCTATATCTAGATTAGATGTGAGAAAACAGTAATAATAAGCGATAGTTATATGTGATAAAATATATTTTAAAGGTCCTTGAGAACATTGCTTTTAATAGAGAGTAATGGATTGATTTTAAAAAATGTTTGGTATCGAGTATTCAACAGCTAGGATGTAGACTTCATGTGATTGTCACGATGAAACATTGATAAATACGCCAACATCAAACGTATCACGCATAATATGTACGTTTTGAGTTTACCAACTTTTAAATAAAATATATTGTTTTAAAAATGACAAACATT